ACAGCTAATATAAGTTGCCATACAATAAACACTTTTCCTCTAAACACAGTTCCTCTCCCCATACAGATCTGAATTACCCCCTTGTTCCTCCCTCTCATTCATCTGCCACCTGTCATAAACTCAATCTGTTTGCACAACCTGTTCACACCAGACTATTACTTAATATCCTCTGTTACTTGTTACTAAAAGGTGAATAGTTGTCTCTTTTTTTACTGCTTCAGGAGATTCTTACTCTTGTGAAATCCCATAAACCCAGGCTACCATTTTAATCAACCATTGTTCCCTTCTACTAGTAAAAATATAGAAGTCAACTGTTCCTTTGACAATCAAAGTATCATGCAAGTAGTCTTCTGAAGCAAGTTAACTAGAATTTTAATGCAATAATCTGCTTTCTTCATATTCTATTCAGTTGCAACTCTCATAAGCCATATGTCAGCTAACAAATTGCAGAATTGTAGGTATAAATATTAAAGACATATATCCCAAACTAAGTTTCAAATCTACAGTTTGAGTCAGAACACAAAATCCAATGCCAAAATTCCTGAGAAATCAGAAAACCAGATATTTTAAGCATAAAGATTAATATTCTTTCCCAATATGCTGTTTTCCTTTGTTTCTTTAATCTCTACAAATTTGAGATAAAGCAAACCTCACAAAATTACCCGATTTCACAAGTAAAATACAGTATTGACCATGACAACTGCCCATTTTAATGCTTCCCATGCTGATAAAATTATGACAAGGAAAATATTTTTTCGCCCAATAAATTCATTCACCCCTCAAGTCCCTGTTTCATTTTTATCATTGTCAAAGAAAAATGTTGTATTGTTTCCTCATGCAGGTGCTGTGGGATTGCCAAAAGTTATTCCGTAGTTTTAGACTACAGAGCTGTAGGAATTTTTATACCAATCAAATGATGAAGTCTACTCCTCTGTGTTTGGCAACAGCTAACTTCTGAACTGCCAAGAAAAGATTCCCCCACCTTAAATACACTTCACCATATAAATTGACAATATGCACTAAGTAACTCTTTTCTGAGTCCATACCCTGTAACATTAGATTGTTACTTATTTTTGCAAAACAAAAGATGTTATTTAATCACCAGACTTTAAGAAATCCTGTATCAACCCTCCCGAAAAATTAGCCTTCAGTTATTTATCAAACTCACATTTTCATGCTACAGTAATGCAATTACTACTGATGGCAGGTCTGCTCTAAGTGCAGATATATGTTGAAATGAGCTGCAAATAAAGATGATATGATTTTGTGGACAATAGTATGTTTGATTTATGTCAAGTGTCATTACCCTAAGACACATAAAGCCTCTTTCTGGGGGACTAAAAGCAAACCATTTACCATATAAAATCAGCTTAGTAGTCCTTATGCTGATGAACACTGTATTCAGAGAAGTAATTCTTCCCATTGTAATTTAAATGTCTACTCTGCATCTCCTAGAATACAAATATCAACATTTATCAATTGGCTTTACATTTTAACTAAACCTCAGCTTAAACTTGGTGGGAAGACCATTTTAATTAGAATAAACCTGGACTGAGTGAAAACTGAATTTCTGGGGAGAAGACAAGCTTTAAAAATGAGACAAAGCCATTGCCTAGCTAGATACAGTGGATAAAACCAGTACTTCTCAAATTGTGACTAAGATCCTTGTGGTCACTACAGCATTCAGGAGTAGAGCAAGTAACTTAAATGCCAAAAAACTTCTAACCACCATTCAAGCTTCAGGGGCATACAGACAGATGAGCCAAAAGGAAAATCCAAAAAAAAATCCAAAACCTCTCCAGCGAACACTCCCTCATTGCGCACCAAGACCATAGGGTCCTTGCCCAAGTCCACTGCAAATTAGTGATAGGGTGTGGGTTTGTTTGGGGTTTTTGTTTTGTTTTTTAGAAAGACTAGCTTTCTGCAAAAAACAGGCAGAAAGAAAGAAAGCACGGTACCTGTCCGCTGTAAATATTTGCTTCTGAATTCTGTTTAGCTAGTGCTTTGGGTGTCTTTTCCCTTCAAATGTTTGAGAAATAAAATGTTAATTTTAGAATTTTGTTAAGCTCTGTTAAGCAATAGTATTTAAATTGAACATATTCTATGCCTTGTACAATGTGAAAAACAGTTGAGTTCCAGTTTCATGGCACGATGCAAATTTTACTTTTTCTAATCCAAAACATTTTTTAAGAAAAGCAGGAAAACAAGCCTACATATAGCACAGAAGATAAAACTGCATCAGTTCCTTTAGATACAGTAACAGACTTCCCATGTGCAATGAGTGGCCACTGCTCACCACCTCTCAGGTTAATAGCCTAGTAGCTAGTACCTCAGTTAACTGAGACACTTAACTAAGTTAAGACTGATACTCTTTCAATCCCATAATTCCTAAAGGATAAGGAATTAAAGCAGTATTTAAGGTTTCTATACAGGCATCTTTTATGGAACACACACAAAAATTTAGTGAGATTTATTAGTGTTACATATGCTCAATCTCTCCACTTCAAGTAACTTCAAAAAACTGTGTCAAAACACTGAATCAGCAAACGTAACAAATCCCAAGATCAGTCGTCTCCAAAATAAATTTCACTGCTCTTCAGCAAAGAGCAAGTAAAAGCAAAACAATGTGAATATATGCCATCAAGTATCCTATAAGAAACTTTCTTTTAAAAAAAATGTTAAACTTCAGCATTAGTTTTTACTCAGAGGCTACATCAATGCTCATTTATTCCTATTCTGGACGTTGCCAAAGGAAATCAGGCATGCAACATCAGGAGAGGCAACCTTTTAGCACGCACGTGAACTCCATTATTCTAATCCGAGGCGTTTCAAGTTAATTAAAACCAAACAAGAACAGGAGACATCTCATAGTTCTTAGCATTTAACTTTTACGGTGGCCACTGTAAATTGCCGAAAGACACAGACACGAGCAGGACCCCCAAAGCGCAGGCCCAACCCAGAGCTCCTGTGGCTCAGAAAAAAGAGCTACAAAAGCAGGGTTCGGGATCTGGTTGCCCGACAGCGGAAACTTGGGGGGTTTTGTGGGTTTGATTATTTATTAAGTGCATTACGGAGACAATTTCGTCCCTTTATTTGTTTGCTTGTTTTTAACCCTTAAGCCACCTTACCTGACAGGCATACCTGACTCCCTACCACCTCACGGTATGGACAGTCGTGCCTGAACCTGACCCTCACACACCGCCCTGGCACGGTGACCCCCACAGGGGACCAGGGGACCCCCACACACACACCGCCCTGGCACGGTGACCCCCACAGGGGACCAGGGGACCCCCACACACACACCGCCCTGGCACGGTGACCCCCACAGGGGACCAGGGGACCCCCCCACACACACCGCCCTGGCACGGTGACCCCCACAGGGGACCAGGGGACCCCCACACACACACCGCCCTGGCACGGTGACCCCCACAGGGGACCAGGGGACCCCCACACACACACCGCCCTGGCACGGTGACCCCCACAGGGGACCAGGGGACCCCCCCACACACACTGCCCCGCCACGGTG